GGAGAAGAGCCGGTCAAGAGGAAAGGGCTCCGGGGGAGCGACCGCGGGCCTCGGCTCAGGATCCGTTGGGAACCGTGTCCTCCTCCATTTCCTCTTCGCCGTCCTCCGATGGGCCTGAAAGGACACGTCAGAGCTTCAGGGCGCTCATTGCAAACGTCAGTTCCCTGTCTCTCGGGGGAAGCGCTAATTCTCATCCCTCTGAAGAGGGGCGGTAATAACGGGAATTAAAAAAACAGTACAGAAAAAAAAAAAAAAAAAATCTACGTAGCTCTAATATACAGAAAAGAGGTGATGCTGCCAGTCTGCAGGAAAGATTCTTCCGTGCAGAAACCCCTGGGAGATCACAGAGATGTTCCCGTACCCCCACCTGAGGCGCTAATGCTCACAGCGGCAGTCTCCAGATACGCTTTGTGATTAAATTTTTTTTTTTTTTAAGTAACTGGGACAAACTGGTTGGAGTTAGCCAATACAATAAAGCACTTTAGGCTGATGTCTGGCACCTCGCTCTCGAGGGAATCCACACATAACAGCCCTGAACTGCACTCTAGAGGCCAGGTGGCTAATACTGCCGACTGCAGAGTTTTACGGATGCGATTCCCCAGTTATTCAGACTATAAAATTACACTCGTTTGAAACAGTTTTTTCAACTTGCTAACTCTTTGGCCCTTCCAGTGTAACTCCCTACTGAGATCACATAAAGCATCTGGAAGCAATAAAGAGAGGTAGATTGTTTGGGCAATAAAAGGAAGAGAAGTAGAGAGTGACCTTTTCGTTCTCTGCCAGGAATCTGACCAGCCTGTAGCAAGCCCTTCAGTCGCTCCACTTCAGCCAAAGTTGTGGCATTTGCTATAGCAGTCTAAAAGACAGAATAAAGAACGCGATAAATGGTCACATACAGTATTTCAGTCTGTGTACAATAAACATAAACTGAGATTTTTTTTCCAGTTAGGTAAGCTTTTACAGAAAGTTCCTAAGCTTTTACAGAAAATTCTACAAAATTCTAGTTCTAGAAAATTCTACAAATGACAAAGTACAATCTTGCTTCACCCCTTATTAAACAAGCTGCTCTATCCTGGGAGAGCTCTAAAAGCTTCATTTTAAGTTCTCAAAAACCAGGTATGTCATAACAGAAGAAGAATTACAGAAAAAGCACCTAAAACAAAGTTAGGACACACTGTTCTGTTCGTCTGAACGGGGTTGCCAGGAGGAAGGAACCTTTGTTCAGTCTGGATCCACCTCAGTTTTTCTCCTCCACTTTTGCCCACGTGTGCTGTCCTGACACACTTACCTTAATTGCCTCAACATCCCCTGGGGAGGGCCCGGCTTTCTTTTTGTCAGTTGGCAGACCAGCACCTGGATTGAAGCTTCAAAGGGAAAAACAAAGACCCGTCACACCCGTTGAAGAGTACGTGCTTCTCTAACTTCCAAACTAGGTTTGGAAGCATTTTATTCAATCAAGTGTAGTATCTTATCTTTGTTAACAAACTGATACAGTGAAGATTGCCTCCTTCAGAAACACCAGCAACTTGTCCTCGCTGTCCCATTCCCCCCACCCCGCACCTTTTCATCTCCTCTTAAAGAGAGGCAGACCTTAACTTTAGAGATTAAGCAGCTGACAAAAGCCATTCAATTTGGATGTTGTTGAACGCTCAGGTGGTGTGTCGCCATTACAGAGGCAGGATGGATAAATACAGAGTAACTGAAATTCGGTTTCCTGCTCTCCTATGTCTAATATGACATTACAACAGCCTATATTAAAGCCACTAGACTGGATGCAGTCTTGACACTCAAAAGAAAAAGGTTATCTGCTGCTGCTTTAAGAAAAAAAAAAAAATTGTAGTCTGTGAAAATGGACCTTATTAAGTAAGCAGCTGGAAAGAATTTCCTGAAGTGCTGACCCAGCAGCAGAGTGCTGCAGCCTCTTCTGCAGCTATCAAAAGATTTTCTTCATGTCTGTTTATTGAGCTATTTAGTTCAATCACCTACTTGCTCTAAAACTATTGCAGACCTGAACCCTTTTCTACTCATAAACTAGAGCTGGAGTCCATCTAGAATAGATTTAAATGCTAAGTATGTTCAAGATATTTTTTTATTTAACTACGAATTTGGAAATGCTGTTGCTATACATGATCCGGATTCTGGTTTCCAAACAGGCTGATGAAAGATTAAACAAAACATATGATGTACCACTTGAGAATTCAACTAAATAAGCATATATTTGTTATAGCTCACCTACAGATTTTCATCTGCATTTATCCTCCTAACTACAGCAGATTTTACAGTTTATATTCCCTGGCAAAACAAAAAAAAATGTTATTTACCAATAATCTAGGAAAAAAAACCCACAAAATAAACAATGGCCACCTCTCTGCAGTTAAGTAACAAAAAGAAAAAATAAGTATCTCTGACCAAATGTCTTTCAAAAATATTTCTGAGATATGTTCACCACCATCCAAAAATCGGGATGCTTGGACAAGGCACTTGTGACTACCAAAGCTTTCAAGGCATCCTGCCAGTAGCTGATATTTCAGTTTACTGCCTAATACCGCACACAAAGAAAGTGGTGTTTCTGAAGGAGAATGCCAGTGTAAATTTGGTTTTTTTTATCTTACGTTTTTGTTCTCCTGGCAATATCCTTTGCAAGCTGTGCACCCCGTTTCCCCTTGAACATTTTCTCTGCCTCCTGTCGCTCCTACAGCGATACCACACACACAAAGTTAATTTAAGAACATTGCATTTTGCAAAGCTTCTGTCTTTGCAAAGAAAGACGCTTTGGCTCATCTTCATCAGTGAACATTGGTACGTGGAGACCAGATGTAAGAACAAGCACATAAACATTGCCCAAACGCTCAGACTCAAGACGTATCAACCTAGTGCTCTTAAAAGTACGAGCTCTTTCCCACACTGCATCTTCACTGAAAGCAGAGGGCTCAGTTGCAATTGCTCATTTCTTTCTCTAGAGGTCTGTCTTTCTACCAACACCAGAGGGCCAGAAAAGAACCAAGCTAACAAAGGTAGTAAAACTTAATTAAACATAATTAAACAGACTGTATCCTTAACATAATGAAACCGTGAAGGAAAACAAAGAGCGTGTCTTAGAGCCACTTATGATAACGAATTTCAGTAAAATTTACAACTGTGGCAAAAAGCTCACTGTTACAGCTGAATTTTCAAGAATGTAACAAGAAAAAAAGGTATTCGTCTTGTGCTGAATCAGAAGAAAGCAAACTTACTTTGAGTTTCACTTTTTGAAAATCCAGCACTCTGACCTGGGGAACTTTGTGGATTACGTACAATCTGTAATGCTTCTTATTTGTGACAGGATTCCTTAAAATGCTACAAAGTAAATAAAGGTTATAAAGAGGTTCTTAACATAAAGTATTTTAAAATACACCTACACTGAAATCCATTAATATAATCAAAATGCATTCATGTACCTTCTGCTATAATAGACAACAAACAGCACCATAGAATAAGCCTAGTGACAGTGTTCTTCAATATCATGAAAATGATAGCAAAAAATTGATAGAACACTTTAAAGCCCAAGTAAGTAGCTTTTATTGAAGAAGCACATAAAGAAAAACCTCAAAATATTAAAAAAAAAAAACAAACACCCAAATAACTAAACCATCACATTTCCTACCTGGACACTGATCAACAAAAAAAAAAAAATTCACAGGACAAATTGCTTTTCTTTTTGTGTCCCTCGCACTGAAAGTAACGTTACTGAAAAATCATTGTTTACATGTATTTTAAAGTATTTTGTAACAACAGTTTAAAGCTTTAGTTTCTTAAAGGTTAAGGTCACTTCAGGGCTTGCACATTGATTTATAGAGATATTACATCTCATCATCCCAACAGTCTGTCAGCAATATAAAGCCTCACCCATTAAATACCAGGTGTTTCTGAAGCGTAGTGGAAACGTTGTTTATCAATTCAATTTTTAAGTATAAAGAATCTGTCACAGCTCATAAAAAGGAGAGCATTCCAGGTCAAAGCAAAGAGCCAGGCCAGCACCAGAGTTCAAACAGCAGAGAAAGAGTAGCTTTTCTTTCCAAGGTTACATACCTCAGGTAAGTCAATGATTTAATAGTTGATAATGGATCCAGTTCACCCTATGTAATGGGAAAACAGTAAGAAATCCTAAGTCCATTTATTGAGAATGAAACATTTAAAAACAGGGTTCCCAAACTCGTATCTATTTTAAAGACCAATTAAAATTACTGCAATTAGTTTAACAGGAAAACCACTAAAACTTTGTGACTGCTGTTCCACTGCATGCTGCAAATTATGTCCATTAAAATATGTGCACCATTAACTACTATGAAAACCATATGATACTACTCTAAAGAAAAAGAAAGAAAGGCTAATTAGAAAAACAAGTAGTACCAACTATTACCAAAACCGTATGACACTACTCTCAGGTAAAAGGTTAATTAGAAAGGTGAAAAACACAAATTTAAGCTTGTTTAGATTTATCCTGCATCGATAGCTTACCAATTCAGCAATGTTGTTGTTGGTAAGAATGAGTTCTGTCAGGCTGGGCAGAGCCTGTTCAAGGTTTTCACCAATCCGACTAAAGAAGGAAAAACAAAGGTTTAACTTAGAAATTAGCAATGGCGAAAAGACACGCAGAGCTACGATAACATAGAGGATCTCCCTGTAAAACAACCCAGTCTGACACTGGCAAAGTTTGGGTTAGCATCCCCTACAATACTTTTTCTAATAAAGCTGGCAATAAATGCCAGCCATCGCTGTAACTAGATGCAATATGAGAATTCATTCACTTGCAGATATCCCCATTTTTTTGTCTTTATGGGGATGATAAATGAAATCCAAAGCCCCGGCCAAATTCCAAACTCTCCATTTCACCATCCAGTCTGAAAAACGAAGACTGACTTTTGCACTGGATGAAGCAGGTGACTTGAAGCGGGCCTACGCATCACTCAGCGCCTTTTTTTTTTTTTTTTTTTTCCATAAACTACTTCCACACCTACCCAGCACTGAAAGTCTCACACACTCTTCTCCCCCAAAGGCATTCTCCTCTGCCCCAGGGTCCCATCTGGCCAAAATACAACCACTTACCAAATCCTATTGTTATTCATCAGAAGAGTTTTCAGCCTTCTCAACAGAGGGAACCCATCCAGTTTACGGATCTCATTGTCAGAGAAATCGATTGCATCGAACTGGTCCAGAGTGGCACCCAAGTTCTCAATAACGGGGATTTTATAGCCTGGGGAGAGAGCACAAGAGAGAAATTAGATGGTGCCCACAGGGGCGCAGAGCAAAGCGAGAGACAGCGTGCGTAGGAGGCATATCTGGACGGACTGAGGCTGCAGATAGTCTCAGTCCAAACACCTCCAGAACAAATCTCCTCCACACTGCGCACAGACCAAACTCTTCCCCGCCAAAACCAACAGCCCCCGCAGCCTGGGCAGAGCATCCCTCTTCCTCCGCTTCAGCGAACGCCCTGCCCGCACGCATCCCCTCAGCCCAAACCCACCTTGCTGCCACATCCCTCGTGTGTCCCACCCTCACCGCTCCAGGTTCCTCCGACTTTTCCCCCAGATTTCCCCCAAATTCCCCGTCCATTCCCCCACCTCCACCACC